CGCATGTCAGGATATCAGTTTAAAAAGGCAATTTGTAAAGTGGATCAGAGCACCTAAAAATCCAAGGAAGAAACACACGCTCACTGGTGTTTAGTGGGTAGGAAAACATGCTTGTATCGCCCAGTCCAAAAGACACAAGCAACTTTGTATTAAAGGAAACAGAATATGCAAGTCAGACTTTAATGAACCATGTTATCATGAATTGTATTTTGATTGACTCATGCATGTTTGAGTAATCCTGTATTGCCCTATCTGTCAAGGCGTCAGTGCTCAGAAACCTACCTACCCTCTATACACTACTTAGATTTTTATTTTTTTAAATAAAAAATAAAAAAAACATGTAAATGAAAATCTGTTGCTTTTCACACTGAAATGCCGCTGCCAAGAGGTGAGGCCTATCAGTTCTGTGATTTTGAACAGGAAGTCACTGGACTCATTTCTATTATTGAGCTGCTTTAGATCAATATTGTGGTTTATGTGATAAATGTGATAGTTGAAGCCTATGGATAATACTCCTCTTTCAAAATGGTCAAAAATAAAATAAAATAAAAAAGGGAAAGTTACTCTGATAACACCCGTGCTTACAGATGACATGCTGTATACATTACTTTTAAATAAGCTGTTAAGGCTTTGATTGTGGAGTGTTTTCCTGACAGCATATAGCCAGGGCATCCATGCCTACTGTGCATCTCTAGTATGGCTGAGTAAAGCACTTGTTCATTTGCAGTGAAGGGTAACATGAAACAGGCCTGAGCCTTCTGATGGACAGGGAGATTTCACCTTCGCCAGTGAATGATAATGCATTATTAAATTTGCCTCTCTGCTCACTAGATACACTTAGCTGACCACAGCATATTTATCTCCCCATCCGAGGCTCACGTCTTGGCAGGAGAAAGCATTCTGTCACTTTTGAGGCATTTCAAAGATTAAAAAGAACCTCTCTCTTTTCAACGTCCCTAAAAGCATCACCCCCCTCTCCCCCGCCACCTCCACCTTTTCTCAGTGAAATGTGATTAGCAGGAGATGGTGTCACGCAATGGAACATTCATGAGGGGAGAACAAATATCCAAATGAACTCCCGTGTCCTGGAGGAATAGCCCCTCTCTGCACCATCAGCACTCTCTCTCTCCACATGCACCGGGCAAGGGAGGGGGGGTTAAGGAAATTTGATTGATCCTGTATTGAATTATTTTTTTGCACTCTTTCATTTCGACGGGACGCACTGACAAGTTGTTTGATCATAACGCATTATTGTCTGCCAAGTCACATTTGAGGCTTGTGATGGCTAATGATCTCTCCTCCTGAGTTGAGGGGGAAAAGTCAGGTAGTCAGCAATGTGTTTGAAGAACGAGGAACGCCAAGGACACTGGGAAGGCCGAACAAAACGCCAAGCATTAAAGTCAAGAAGATGAAGAGAAAAGGGGTGCACCTTACAACTTTTAATGATAGTGTATCGAGAAATGTTTAAAGGAACATAGCATTCTAACTTTGGCTGAGACAAAGTTGCAGCTCTTGCTTTTATTTGTGCTTTTTTTTTTTAGAGATGAAAAAGCAAAAATATAAAGGCTTGAAGTCATTAATTTATACTATAGAGGAGACAGAGGCTTTGGAGTTGGATAATTGTTGGAGGTAGTTTGTTCCTCACTCCCTCCAGAGAATACTGTTTTTGTGTCCTTAGGCAAAACACTTTACATTCTCATTTTTTACACAGAATACCTCTACAGAAAAAGTAAGAGCTGACTAAAATAGACCCCATTCACCACCTTAAGGCCTGAAATTATAATTATTTATTCCTGAGGTTTTAACAACTAGAAGTCCAGCTCTTTCAGCAAAGCCAAATGCTGGAAAAAAAAAACAAAAAAAAACTACCATTACTGAATTTCGTCCCACATTTCAGAAGCTCCGTGTTAAATGTTCTCGCCATCAGTAAGTACAGGTCCTTGCCCAAAGCAGCTGTATGTTAATAGACTGTGACACTGTGCTACCTGGACACTTAATCATTCGGACTGGGACTACAGACAGAGCACCAGCCTTAAGCAGATCACAGCTCTTATCTACTTCCTGATAGAGAAAGAGGTGTGGCATGGAAAAAGATGAGCAAAAAAGAAAAGCGAGAAAGAAAAAGGCTCATTGTGGTCACCATGAGGCCGTGGATACGTAGATGATTGCTCAGTTGATAGCAGGTATGAAATGTGCACCTCTAGGTGACATAATACACCACAAGCTTCCATTTGTGCAGGAGCAGACATTACCAGTGCATCTCCTGTTGTGTCAACACACAGATATAACATTTAGCAGGGAAGTGCCAATATCACATTACCGGTGAATCACCCGCTTTTAAAATATGATTTACAGAATCAGTTTACATACAGTAGTCTGCACCTCGCGCCTGTCAGTATTTCCATTTGAACAGCATGGCATGTTAAACTGCAGCGAGTGGGTAAAGTGGTAATTTTAGTTGTTTAAAACTTGAAATGCCACATGGTATTTCCAAAAGCACTTGGATGCATATGGCTTCTGTTTCAAACACCTTCTCCCTGAGGAAATAAAATGATGTCAAGTGTTTGATGTCCAAAGTAAGTTTCCAGCCAAAGGCAGGTTTCCCCTTGTTTGTCAGCTACCTGCTGTTTCACGAGACAGAGGCTTGTCGGAAGCTCACGCTGCACACTTTTTTGTTTGAAGCAATTCAATTAGTCACATGTGAGATAACACTTAGCTTTCCGCTAGCCTTTTTTCCTCAAACATCATCTAATCTCTTTTTTTTTTTCGATCTTTCTTTTGCTGGCAGATTTTGGACAAAAAATAATCAAGTTCAAACAACAACCCCCAAAAACTACCATCTGGTTAGACTGCTCTGGTGACACAAGTTTGGAAAGAGGCTTTTAATGGACAACAAACAGTCTTTGTCCTTGATGGCGAGAGGACATGAAACAGACGTGTGTTATAGCGGCCATCGCTGAGGTGTCGCACTATTTAAAGCCGCTCCATATGAGCACAGGGCATCCTTCCTCTGAGTCTTCTAAGAGCGCACTACGAGAGATTAATTTAATGCTCTGCCAGAATCATAAAGATCAAACACGTGGAGAGCTATCATTAAACCATTGCAATGTTATCTCATTTATCTAAACAAACTGATGCCGCGAACGAGCCTAATTAAAAAGCTTGTCATAAACACAGCTCCGCATGGCCAGGCCTAGTCCTTCTATTACAACAATGGAAGACGTTTATTTTATTAATCTAATGCATCATGTATCATATCATTACAGTTCAATATATCTATCATTAATTTTATTCCCTTCACTTAAAGCTTTTATTGGAATTACTTTAGATATTAGTTGTTTCTAATGTATTGGTTACCTCTGAATGGAGGCTGGCTACAATCTCTCTTATCTCGCCGCATAAACCTGTGCATGTTATTCAAATTGCCTCATTTATTATGATAGCTTCCTCATGTAAATTGTGCTGACTGCTCGCCCTTGCACAGTCCTCATTAGACTAATGAAAACCTTCAAACGAAAAAACTAAACAACCTGCCAAATAAAGGTCTGGGGTTATTATGAAAATTACAACTGTGGGAGCCGGGAGAAGCTCTCTTCATTAATTCATGCTCAGCAAATTGGTAACTAATTTAGTTGCACTCCTCTGCATTAATGGGTTATTTTATAAAAATGTTTTCTGCAGCCTGAGACCCCTGGTGCACCGCTGAGAGCTCAGAATCCTAATCAAGTCCAGTGACATATTAGGAATTGACAATCTAAAAGATAATACGCTGCGTGTTTGCCAGTGGATGTGTGTAGGTCAACAAGGCTGAATTGGTGTGGATTGCCGGGTCATTTACTTTCTCCTTCAATATTGCAAAGAAATTACAATCCATTTGTGCTGATTATCTGACTGCAGAAGAGCCACTTTTGCTGGAATAAGGAGAATTTCAGTTCATTTGGCAAGTTGATACTGGTGTTTGCTTTGTCTCTCCCCCTCTCCTCTCTTCCCTCTTCGCTCCCTCCCAGACAGACAGTTTGTGACCCATAAATTCAGCCCGTGATCTTGCTAATTATTACTATTCACTACTTCACACCCAGTAAGCGAAGGTCCAACACTGATCTTCACGTCAACACTGCCAACAGGGAGCTCACAGCCCACTGATTTCCATAGTGGGTTTAATATCATTATCGAGCCCCACTCCTCGCAGTCTCACCCACAGCAGCTCTGCCTCCAACCAACAGAGAATACTCAAATCTATTATTTGCTTCATTTTGTAGTTAATCCACCATGCTTAGATATGATTTTGATCTGTTTCTTCCCTTCCCTTTTGTTACAAGCGCAGCAAAATGATAATCAAATAATGCTAGCAATTAATGTGAAATCAGTTTGTGCGAGGCAAGCTGATTTATGGATCAGCATATGTTTGACCCCATGGGTTGGTCCAGCAAACGGCAGTACAGTGCACATGCAATTACATGCATTTCTAATGTTCTTTCTTATTCATTAAAACAAAATGATTTATGCAATCAATAAAATTGTTTAAAAAAGTAAAGTTTGTTGTCTCTTGAGATAAAGTTGAGTTACATTAACCTTTCACATGTAGCTATAATGTGCAGCATTCAGGCAAAAGTAAAAGGCAAAATTTTAAAGAATAAAGTTGTTTGGATTTTTGAAGTAGAAGGACACAAGTACAAGATGTAACATTGTAAAATACAAATAAATACATTAACTTATTCGCAAAGTGAATGGTATGACTCCTAAAATATGGTAAATATATATTCAATTTCCATAATATTTAATTAATTAATACATCGTTGTTCAGTACATTGGTTCTTCTGTAACTCCTTTTATGGATGTAGGTCTGAGCATCAGCCCACATTAAATATAACTCAGACATAAAATGTAAGAACTAACCCTTCTTTATGTTCAACATAACCGCTCATAATAGACTCCATTATCCGTCACCAGGACTGTGACTTACCCTATCTGAATATTTCTAGGTAAAAGTGAATTCTCACCTTTGTCACCGTGCATCCTCTTTGCTTCATGGCTCATATCATGGGCCAGGTCCCCTTCTTTGGGACCAGGGGGGATATTGGGGGACAGGCCGAGGAGGGCTTGGTTCATCGATAGGCCATTGTGATGTGTTGCTGTGAGAGGGAGAGCAAGCACAATATTTTAGAAACAAACTTGTTAACACGTAAGACAATAGAAAATGTGGAGTAGGGCGTGTGGGTTTTCTCTCACTGTGTCTCTGTGTTTTGAGCTCATATAGGGACGTACGTATCCTGTCTGAGGAGCTTTCTGTGTGGGCAGGGGAGCTGGACACGCTGCTGCTGCGATGGGACGAGGGCTGGCTCCCGGGCCTCCTGTGGTCCTCTAAAGATGGAGCAGGAGACGGACTGTCCTGTACACGCTCCTGCAGGCCCTGAAAGCACAAGAGCACACAGCCAAAATAAATATCCACCAGACCTGACGAAACAACACTCAAACATCCTGGATATTACTTTTCTGTGTATAAAATGTACCTTTATAACTGAGGTGACCATTCTGGAGGGCAGGCTCTGACCCTGTGCTGCCGCGGCCATGTTTGCGATGGTGCTGAGGTGGTTCATCTGACTCATCGCCATGGTGACGGAGGCAGGGGGCAGGCTGACGGGAATCAGGGGGTGTGGCATCATCATGAAGGGGAGTTCCAGGCCTGAAACACATAAAGAGGTAGTTGGTTACTCAATGAAGCGTATTAAGAGCTGTACTCAAAGGGGAAACTTGAGTGGAAAAGTCAGCTCATTCATCAGTATTCCCGCCACACTCATACCCTTTAAACTCCCCATCCAATAACACTAAAGCTTTGTACTGCCACCCATTAGCCCCAAAATTGAATAATTTAAATTGATTGCTTCTCTGGTATCTTTCTACGCCAACATAATACATATTAATGTTTTACAGCATATGTGAATAATAGATATTCTTACAATAATTATTATAAAGACGGGAATTATAATAACTATATACATAATGATTCAAAGACCAAAGTTTACACAGTAACAAAGAGTCATCAATTATTTGATAATGAATAAAAAGAGCACATTAAGAAAATTGTCTCAATATTTGTAAAGACAGTGGAAGCACGGGCATCTTGGAGGCTATTACCCAAAAGGCCAGTACAATGTGCTAATGACAAACAAGCAGACTGCAGTACTGCACTGACTTCAGGCTAAATATAGCGGCCCTCAGACCAGACTGGCAATAATGAGCTCTCGAATAGTTCTTTATTCACACAAATGATTATATTACAACATCAGACATATCTTACAAATGTTTTAAATTATTCAATTGCAGCCAATCCTCATATGGTTAATGGGGGAAATTGAAGACATTAGCCGTCTGGAAATGTAAAGAACGCCTAATAAAGATACCGTAGGGGGGTCACAGTTAGTTAGCCTGGGACCATGCTTTCTGATGGTTTAATGAAAACAAGGCAACTTTAAAGGACAGAAGGTCAGAGCTAGGTGTCTGGACCCCTCCTGCCTGACACAGTCCCCCCACCAGTGCCTCCTCTTCTCCCTCTGCTCTTTAGGGACTTTGAACTGCAGGATCAAAACTGACTGGGAACAGTTTGGTCTCATTCCTGCTCCACTCACATGAATTTGCTTTAAAGAAAACCTCACACACACTATTGGATCTGATTGAGCTTGTCTGTTGATTTTTTCACTCACTTTTCCTTTATTCTTTCTCTTGGCAGGCCTGTTCAAGGTAAGAAAAAAAGAAAGAAAGGCAAATACTGAGAGAGAAATCCACCAAACAAGTCCACTCCTCTCTTGTGAGAAAACATCAGTAGCCAAAGGGTAAGGGGATCTACATGGCACTGCCTCTATAGAGAAGGACACTGGTGAAAATGAAAGGACATAAGAAGTACTCCTCTCCATCTTACCAAAAAGAACCATTGATTTCCATAAGAAAGATAGCATGCAGTTTCTCTATGACGACTATCCCCAAACAATATAAAGGCAAAGGAGGGAGATTAAAGAGAGGCGGAGGCCAAAGCAGCACCTTGTATCAGTGGCGCTGCTGTAGCTCGGGTCTGAATCAATTACCACTCAGCGGGCTAAGCTCAATTAAAAAACACCACGGAGGGCTTGATTGCGGGGGTACTTATGGTAGGACAACATGGAGAGGCCTGGGCTACCTATCAGGCTTTCAAGGCCACTCAAGGACCTGTGTAAAGAGACTTTTCTCTGCTTTTCAGGTGGAAACATTACACCCATTCAATCAGCCACTGCATACAGACACACTGACTTAGAGTGCATATGACTGCTTTTCATGTTTTTTCTGATTATGACTTGGTTTGGTGGGATAGTACCTGTGCTAAATATTTATTATAGTTTTACACATGTTAAGTGGCAGTTTGTTGGAATATTTGATAGGAAAACCAAATACCAAAAATTCCATCTAAAATTCAGGGACAATTTATGCGCAAAGAACACAATTCACTGACAGGTTAAACCTTCATTTAACAAAATAAAGGTGTTGTCATTTGTTTTTATTAGTCATAATTACTGTGCATTTTAGATAAGACCTTGTAAAAGTGCATTGTGCAACTTTTCTGTTGGATGGTCCATCAAAAGCTTTTCTCCTTGGAAACATTATTGCTTTGTCTGGAATGTTTCATAATATGGCATTAAACTGTTCCATCTTCCCGAAGACCAAACTTGACCAAGTCAGACCTGTGGAGGGCGACCCCACTCACAGACAGAATGCCTGTTCTTTTAGGTGTTTTTGAGCTAATAAAAAAAAACTCTAATTGAATAAATACAGGGTACAGCTGTTTAATGTAATTCTGTGGAAGATTCCAGGCAGAGCAATGATATACAGTATCCATAGAAACAAGCAGGTAACGGACCCCCAACTAAAAAGTTACACAGTGGACCTTAAACAATATGGTTTTCTAGGAAATACTTATGGAATTACCTATGTTTGTCATATCTGCTGTCAGTGTCCAATCAGAAAGTCAAATTATATAAACCAAAATTACTGGAGCTATTACTAATTACTAGGAAAAAATAATAAATAAATAAATAAATATATATATATATATATATATATATATATATATAAAACACACATACACACACACATACACACATATATATATATATATTTTTTTTTCAGTCCTCAAAAATGTAGTGGAGTAGAAAGTACAGATATCTGCTCTCAGATGTAGTGAAGATGTAGTGATGTAGTGACTTCTAAATCTACTTAAGTAAAGTATAGATACTTCAAATTTATATGTAAGCCCAGTACTTTACTACTTTTACTTTGTTACATTCCACCCCTGACAGACGTAGAGAAAGAAGAAGAACCTGCATGAAAACTTGAGGATTTTTCGCGGTCCTTATGAGGGTTAGTACACCTGACAGACAGCCCGTTGGCATAAAACAGCACTAGCTCTGTTCGCTCCCTAAGAGGTATTAGTCTCGCTTTGGGTGCTTGTCCGGCCCCTTTCATGTCCCTCCGTCTTAAGCGCTGTTCCTCCAATAAAAGCCCATTGAGAGGGCTGCTGGAGAATGTGCCACAGGCTAACAAGTGTCCCACCAAATCCAAGCTCCGCACATCTGAGAGACGCCAGGTGGGACGGATGTTGGTTGTGTCAGGTACAGTGCGGTGTGAAAGACAGGTTTTATGGAGGTGAACAAAGAAAAGGTCATCATTGAACAAAAGTACAAAAAGAAAGGGAAGAAAAAGGTGAAGTGTAAGCCTATAGAGTGTTAATGCATGGATTTCAGCTTCCTGTTATGTGCAACAATTTGAGGATGTTCTAAAACCCACTGATACCTGATCCATGCATGAGTACCAGAAAGATGAAACATTAGTAGTTACTATAGCGAGTAAGAGTTACACAGTCTTAAAACTTCTGAATGGGGAAAAGTCCTCAAAATTTTGGTTCTAAAACCCACAAATTCATCTTCTAATTCAGAGATAAATGGTTTTCTGTCATGCTGTTTCCCAAAATTGTCAAGAAAATGGACACCCACATACTAATAAATACGAAACCTATAATCAAAGCTAGATACTTGGTTGATCAACTCTCAGTAGTGAAACACAGGGCAAATTTGATCCTTTTCTGCATACTTATAAAATGGTTGTGTTCTATATCAAAACTAGCATAATACATCACATTATAATTAGAGATGTAACAATAACCGAAATATTGTGATATCGTATCGTCAAAGTTCTCACAATAATATCGTTGACCATCACAATATATCGAATTACAAGCCTCTTCACTTAAATGAAGAGTTATGGTGCAGTAATAGAAAAAAAAAGGACAGAGGGAACTACATAGACCATGATACTTTGCTCCATTTCAGTGTAGACTACATGAAGAAATAGCAGTTCTAAGCACTTATAACTCTTCTTTATTTGGATTAAGTCTTGTCAAGGCATTTTAAAAGGAAAAAGTAACATTCACAGGTTTGTTAGCCTCCACAAAATATCACAATAAATATCGTACCATGAGATGTATATCGTGAAAATAACTTCCCAAGAGATTTGGATATAATATGAATATTTAATTTTCAATGTAGTAGTAGTAGTAACATATCTAGGTGGAAATTTTAGCATTGTGTCAACACTATGGTATAGTTATTTAGTTAGTATATATAAATGTTTATGAGTGGTGTTGGAAATAAGCAACAAAATGAATACTAAAATCAAACACCAGCTGGAACAGTAGTCAAAGTGAGTAGCTCCTTTAAGCTTAGAGTAACAAGAGCACGAGTCATTAATCACCTGATATTGTGTAGATATTCCAGTGGGCAAACCCTCTGAAACATATTTGTCAGTTTCTGTTTATCTCTAATATGGAAGTTTCGACCTGATGCGAGGTGAATTCCCAGCAGCCCCTCTCTCCCCCTCTCCTGAAGGGCATAAACAACGCATTTGGAGTAATTTACCTGAAGTAAGCCTGGGGGACTCGCAAAGGTGAACTCCTATTTACCATCATTAAAACTACAAATCACTTAATACCAATATAAACAGCTCAGCTATTATGCTGCGCAGTGCTCGGGACTTTACGCATGGATAAGCAAAGATCTGAATCGCGGAGGATGGATTGAATGAATTAAAACAGCCCTCGGTAACAACGTGATTAAAAAGCTGTTACATCAGTGGTTAACAGTAGCTAGCTAAAGGTCTGATACTTGGGAAAAATGATAAAAGCTGGAGTGATTTATTTGCGCGACAAAAATGAAAGGCTGCTGTGATTTGTGCTGCAGTTAATCTTCATCTAAACAGGCTATTCTGGCCATCTCACCCTTTAGAGAAAAACGGGACTAAGACACTCATTGAGAATCGTATAGAAAACAGCAGCGGCCCTTAACTCTGTTGTGGACAGATTTCCCCTGACAAAAATTAAACTAGCTCCTACTTGGCACTTTATTATCTCTTCAACTGAATGATTTATTGTTTGTGGAGCCAAAGAACCAAAGCGAGCAGGGAAGATTACATTTCCAGGCAAAGCTCAAGCTCGATCTGGTGTTTTTTTCTGCTTCTGTCCAGGAAAAAAGCTCACGACAAACAATAATGTCAGCTGTAATTGATCGGAGGTCGCCTGGCTCGGGCCCGCAGTAAAAAGGCGACTATTTAAGCGACAATCGGCCCGGGCTCTCCTTCAGACGCTGGCTAATGAAGCTGTCTGTC